CTATGAAGATTGACAGCCTTGGAGACCCTGTGGGCAGTTCCACTCTGTCCTCTAGGGGCGCTGTGGGTCAGAATGGACTCCACGGCAGTGGGTGTGGTTGGGGCTTTGCTTCTATGAAGATTGACAGCCTAGGAGACCCTGTGGGGCAGTTCTAGTCCAGGGGCGCTGTGGGTCTGAATCAATTCACCAGCACAGCAACAACGTCAATGTCGTCATCATTTGCTTGACTCCCACCCTTTTGTCCTGTAGTCATGACATTGGGTTAATTCGATGTTATCTGCTGCAGTCAAGTCGGCCCTCAGCTCGTGACGACCGCGGCCAGCACATGAGATGGGACTGTTCTGGCCCGTCGCGTTTTCACCTGTGGGATCCATATAAGGCTTCTTTCAGAAGCATGTTGCCAGGACTAGTCTTCCTGGTCTGTCTTAGTCTGGAAGCCCTGCTGAGACTTCACCATCACAGCTGTTCACAAGCCCCTGTCGAGGGACTGGTGGTGGCTGCAGTGAGGTGCACTGAACCCAGGGCCCCCCCACGTGGAAGGTGGGAATTCCGGCACTGTTGGTTCACCTAAAGTCAGTGGTGTGCGTTTTGGGGTCCATGTGGGCCTAGACGGTCATCCTTACGTTGCCCTGATCCTGGGCTGTGACCTGGTCTAAAGTACTTGGCTTCCCCTTGGGTGTAGTCGTGACACGCTGTGTGCAGTAGTGTCACGTCCGATAACGTCCGTGGTGAAGGACATGGCGTGCTGTCGCGCTGGCAGGCAGCTGGGACCCAGTCTGAGGCAGCTGTGCCCTTATCTCTCCTCCCCTGCTCCTTCCATGTCCCCCACCCTTGGGGCGCTCCCCTCTCCACCCCCGCCCGGCTCCGTGCTCTCTCCCGGGGGTCCCTTTGCTGCCTGGGTTCCTGCCCTGCTGTCCCCCTGCTCCAAGAGCCTTTCCTGCTGCCCACCCTTCCTGCCTGCCTGTGATGGCCGATGACCGGCTCTCCCTGGCCGTGGGCTCTGTCCCCATGGGGCACACTGGCCGACCTTAGACACAGAATCAGGAATGTACGTGTGCTGTCATGAGGCCGGTGGCGTCTGCTGAGAGAGCCCCTGGAGGGGCACCCCGGCCCTGAGGCCCGAGTGTGTGTGCGGGGGACGTAGGAGCCACCCGGGCCCCAGAGGAGAGGAAGGGCCACGGGCAGGAGGCATGGTCAGGTGCCCTTGGCTGACGCTCACGGGGTGCTCGCCTGTGCCAGCCGCTTTCAGTTTCCCGGTTCACTGTGCTGGGCCCCCTGTTACAGAGAAAACCGAGGTGTGCAAGTGCGGCGGCCCACCCGTGGTCACACCCTGGCTGACTCTCTCCCGGTGCACTTGCTGCCTGGCCCAGTTGGGGCCCTGGGGCAGGAAGGAGCCGGGCAGGTTTGAGGAACTGAAAGACGGATGGAGGCGCTTTAACAGAGAGGTTAATGAGGGTTGGCGCCTTCTGGGCCCCACTTGGGGCCGTGGGCAGCCCGTCCACGTTTGCCAAGGTCCTCTGCTCTCCCCTCCTCCTCAGATGCGGTGACCCGCCTCCCCCTGCCGTGGCCTGTCCTCTCCAGTCGCCCCGCCGTCTCCTGACGTTCCGGGGGCTTGACCCCTTGCCACCGGGCGCCATGTCGACCTCGTCGCTGCGGCGCCAGATGAAGAACATCGTGCACAACTACTCAGAGGCGGAGATCAAGGTCCGCGAGGCCACGAGCAATGACCCGTGGGGCCCGTCCAGCTCCCTCATGGCCGAGATCGCCGACCTCACCTACAACGTCGTCGCCTTCTCTGAGATCATGAGTATGATCTGGAAACGGCTCAACGACCACGGCAAGAACTGGAGGCACGTCTATAAGGTCGGTGCCCTGCTGCGGCCACGCGGTCGCTGGCCTGGGCCCTGCCGTGCTGGTAAGGGCGGTGGCCTGGGCCCCTGCCCCGCCCACAGGGCTGGTGGACCTGGGCTCCGGCCATGTCTGCCTGGTCGGTGGTCTGGGTCCCTGCCCCGTTGGACCCGGCGCTACAGGGCTGGGGTATCACGTGCCTTCGTGGGCTGGCACAGGTGGGGAGAGACGGAGCGTGTGTGCCCACCTGGCCCTCCCACAGGTCAGAGTTAGGGCTGCGGCGAGGGGTACTTTAGGGTTAGAGTTCACGATAAGGTTAGTGCTGGGGTATGGGGTAGGGTTAGGGCCTAACCTAGGTTGAGGTTGGATTTAGGGTTAGGACTAGTGTTAGAGCGAGTGTTAGGGTTATAGTAAGCTTAGGGTTAGTGATGCAGTGGTTTTGGGGTTAGAGCTGGATCTAGGGTTAGGGTTAGGGTTAATGAAAGGGAAACACTGGGCCTAGGGTGAGGGTTAGGATTGGAGGCAGAGCAGCTCTAGGGTTAGGGCTGGTGCGAGGGTGAGGGTCACTGCTAGGGGTATAGAGTTAGGACTAGGGTTAGGGTCAAGGTTGGGGTAGGGTTAGAGCTATGCATTGGGGATCTGAGCAGCTCGGGTTAGGGTGGGGGTAGGGTGCAGGTTAGGGTGGGGGGTAGGGTTTGCCATAGTGTTAGGGTGAGGGGTAGAGTTTGGCATAGTGTTAGGGTGTAGGGTAGGGTGCGGGTGCAGTTTGGGGGTGGGCTGAGGGTATGAGATGAGGGTAGGGTTAGGTTTGAGTTAGGGTTATAGGGTAGCGTTAGGGTAGGGGGTAGGCGTTGGGAGTGTGGTTAGGGTGCAAGTTAGGGGTAAGGGTTGGGGTAGGGTGTGGGTTAGGGGAAGTGGGTAGGGTTAGGGTGCGGGTTGAGCCTCCCATGCTCTGAGGGGTGCTTGCAGTCTGTGTTTTTGCAAAATGTCCTTTTTTCTTCTAAAAGTGAAAGCAACCATTACAGCACTTTAGAAACTTACAGTTTGTAAGTTTATTTTTACATAAATGATGCACTTGTAAGACGTGTGTAAATGGTGTCAGATGGTAGATGGCCTCCATCCACACGTCAGACGTGTGTAAATGGTGTCAGACGGTAGAGGCCTCCGTCCCCACGTCAGACGTGTGTAAATGGTGTCAGACGGTAGAGGCCTCCGTCCCCACGTCAGACGTGTGTAAATGGTGTCAGACGGTAGAGGCCTCCGTCCACACGTCAGACGTGTGTAAATGGTGTCAGACGGTAGATGGCCTCCGTCCACACGTCAGACGTGTGTAAATGGTGTCAGACGGTAGAGGCCTTCGTCCACATGTCGGCCTGTCTCCTGCCCCCTTTCGCCCAGGTGACGTCATAGGGTGCCTCCTTTCGCCCGGGTGGCATCGTAGGGTGCCTCCTTTTGCCTGGTGGCATCGAAGGGTGCCTCCTTTTGCCCGGGTGACGTTGTATAGGGTGCCTCCTTTCGCCCGGGTGACATTGTATGGTGCCTCCCTTCGCCCGGGTGGCGTTATAGGGTGCCTCCTTTTGCCCGGTGGCGTTATAGGGTGCCTCCTTTTACCCAGTGGCGTTGTAGGGTGCATACTGGCCTGTGCGTTTTCTTTTTCCGTGTAGGGTCTTCATCCCTAGTGCTGCTATCACAGACTTACCACAGGGGGTGGCTTTGAAAAGCAGAACCTTTGGGTTGGTCGTCGGGCCACCATGCCACCAGGGTGGTAGTTTAACCGGGGTGCCCGTCCTGTCTGTCCGTTTGTCGGAGGATGGACACTTGGGTCTCGTCCTCTGGGCTGTCGTGGCTCCCGCAGCGCGTGTGGCTGTGCAGGGTTCTGAGTCCCTGCTTTCCCCAGTTAGCTGTTTTCTTGCTGTGGACGGTGCCCTCACTGTGCCCGCCTACCCCAGTTATTGACGGGTGCATTCTACCATTGACGGGCGTTTGGGCTATTTCCGGGCCCACCATCTTCCACCTGCAATTCCAAAGTCCAGAAAGCTCTGGAAAACGAAAGCTTCTGCTTGTTTGTCTGGAGGCCAGGCTGGGCGCGGGGAGGTGGCGCTGCCTGCTGGTCTGCACTGGGCCTCGGGGTGCGGCTGCTAGTGCAGCCGTCGGCCTGAAAGCCCCTCGCCTGGCGTGCGCGCTTGCCTTCACTCTCCAGAGCTGCCAGCCGAGGGGTACGGCAGGGGGCTGGCTGTGAAGAGCAGGGACGCGTCCTCTCACCATTCAGAATCTCAGAAGTCTGGGTTCAGGGCTCACCTCTAGGGAAGGCGTTCTTCGTTGGCTCCGGGAAAGGGGCATGTCTTTAGCTTCTGGTCCTGGATTCCTTGGCTGTCTTCATGGGACGCACATCTGCTCGCTTGCTTCCAGCTCTTCCCTGTTCAAAATGGTCAGCTTCAAACCCACCCTGTGCCACACGGGCTCGTAACGTAACAGAGAGAAGCCTGTGGGATGTCAGTAGACCCATAGATACGGTGACCTGCACAGAGACGGTGACCCTGCCTAGATCCCGTGACCTTCCACAGATACGGTGACTGCATAGACGGTGACCCTGCGCAGATACGGTGACCGCACAGACGGTGACCCTGCCTAGCTAGATCCCGTGACCCTGCGCAGATACGGTGACCGCGCAGACGGTGACCCTGCAGAGCACAGATGGAGTGGCCCCACGGGAGCTCATTAATGTAACAGAAGCCACTGGGGGCAGTAGCCCCCATGGACATAGTGACCCTGAAGATGGAGGAGAACGGCCCCCGCCAGGCTGGCGAGGCTGCGAACAGATTGCCGGGCCTTTGTCCCGCAGAGCAGCTGGTGCGTTTGAACCGCCCACCTTCTGGTGTGCAGTGGAGCACTTACTTGCTGTGCCACCCGGGCTCCTCCTGCAGGTGTAAGGGGACACAGCGCGATCCGGAATGGGGGTCTTGCTCTCGACGGTCTTGAGTTCCAGAGCCCAGCTGCCGCCGAGTCCCACCTGGGGTGTGGTTTTGCCTCTACCGGGGGAGTTGGGAGTAACTGGGGGCCAGGCCTCAGCGCCCCCGACCTGCCTCCGGAGGGCCTGGCCAGATCTCCAAAGGTGGGGCAGCTGTTGAGACCCTCAGCAGTGCTTCCAGACACTTCACCAAGGTCCAGGCAGAGACTGCGGTGGAAATGGCAGATGCCTCCCTCGGCTCAACCTGGGTGCTTCGGATGGCGTCCTGGGCCCCACGAGCCCCTGGAGTCACCCGTCCGCGGCCCTGACCTTGAGCACAAGGCTGCAGAAGGCCTTGGGAGCCGTGGCTGGAGCCTGGCCAGGAGAGCCCGAGAGTGGGGCGTTTTCCTGTGTGTCCTTCTGGAGAGAATGCCCTGGCCCCAGGCCCCAGGCCACACGGACCCGTGTCCCAGGGGAGCTGGGCTCTGTAGGGTTTTCAAGCTGCGGCCTCTCAGGCGGATTGCCAGGCCTTTCTGCCTCGGGGCGAACCTGTGCCTTCAGCCTGCCAGCTAGCAGCGGCCATGCAACCAAGCGCTCCACCCCGGGCTTACGCCCCAGGCAGCGCCGCCTTGTTTCATTCAGTGAATGTGTGCAGCGTCAGGCAGCCTGGTCTGCACCTCCTGCGTGCGCAGCCCAGGCCACTGCCTGCCCTCCACCTGCGGTGCGGCCGTCCTCGCGCCCCCACCTCGCCCCACCCCACTGTCTCAGACCCCTGTCCCCGAGCTTCCCAGCCAGCACGGTGTCCTGGGGGCCAGCAGGCTTGCCACTTGCTCATTGTCACAGTGGTTCCAGAACAGAACCCAGCGCAGTCTGCCGGGCCTGGCTACCCTGGGGTGCGACTGAGTGTTTTCAGTTGTTCATGTGTTATTTTGGTATGCTGCTTTTTCAGAGATGCCCCTTTTATGGAGCCAGGGAAGGCTCTGTGCCCTGGCTGGAGGGCTGCAGCTGGCATCTCCTTTCTTTGTTTATGGAGAGCAAATTCACACAGCACACAACTCGCTGGCTCATAGGACAACCCACTGCCTGCGAGTCAGTTCCATTCACAGCGCCCCTAGAGGACAGAGTGGAACTGCCCACAGGGTCTCCAAGGCTGTCAATCTTCA